GATACTTTGGCCATCTCATGAGAAGAGAAGACTCCTTGGGAAAGACCTTGATGTTAGGAAAGTGTGACGGCAAGAGGAGAAGGGGACAACAGAGGATGAGATGGCTGGACAGTGTCTGCGAAGCAACCAACATGAATTTGACACAACTCTGCGAGGCAGTGGAAGATAGGAGAGCCTGGCGTGCTCTGGTCCATGGAGTCATGAAGAGTCAGACACGACTAAACGACTAAACCCACATGTAAATGTGTACAATATTGGTTAAAGTTTGTGACCAGTGACAATAGGCTAGAGATGGATAACAGAATGCTTGGTTTTGGAATTGGAGTGTATACAGTGGTGCCCTGCATAACCAGCTCTTCGTTTAACAATGAATCCGCATAGCGATTGAGTTTTTGCGATCACAAAAGCAATCGCATAACGATGTTTTAAATGGGAAAACATCGCTTTTTGATGATCAGTAAGCTGTTTCACTTACCGATTATCGCATAACGATGTTTTTCCAACAGCTGATCGGCGGTTCCAAAATGGCCGCCGGGTAAAGAAAATGGCCGTCTGCTGTGTTTTCACGCCCTTTCCTCGCTTACCGGGCAGCGAAAATGGCAGCAGCATTGAGGATTTCCGCATAACTGTGAGTTTTTTGCCCATAGGAACGCATTAAACGTGTTTTAATGCGTTCTTATGGGCTTTTTTGCCCCGCATAGCGACGAATCCACATAGTGACAATTTTTTCGGAACGGATTATCGTCGCTATGCGGGGCACCACTGTACTTGGTAGAACTTGCTCTTGGATTTGCAGTACCAGAAGTATTATTCCAATTTGGTTGAATATTATTTTTTCATTCCTGCTAAAGATAGAAGTTAAATATGTGCAGAGATCATGAGCATGATATTTTGGTAGATACCTTATACCCTGTATTATTGTACAAGGATCCTTTCCACAGCTTCTGTGGTGTTTGGTGCACAGGCATCTCTTACTGTCTTGGAGGAAGGCAAGGCATGGACATCTTTATTTATCTTGAATATAGAATCTTGAGATTGGGACATAGCTGGCCATTTCCTGCAAGTGGCAGCTGAAAGTGTAGAAAAAAATAATTGGAGACAGGGTTGTTAAAAATGAATTTTTAATAAAATTGATTTAAATAATGAATTAAATAAAATAGATGTTTTAATTTAAATAATTAAAAATCCAATTTTTAAAATTTAAATAATAATTTAAATCAATTTGTTTCAAAACAAATCTATCCTGATTGGAAATAATGGGAACTCCTCTCCCTGCAAGCCAGGAGGCTGCAGGGCTCAGTGAAGGGCCTCTGCAGTTCAGATTGGGCCACCAGATATTCCTTTCATATCTTTTACTGTGTACATGGAAATACTTTTTCATTCTTACTGTATAATATTGCAGAGTTTCTGCCCTGCTAATGATATAAGCTTGTGTAGTGGCAAAAATCATATGACTGCCCAACTACAAATAGCTGTTTAGTAGTTGCTTTGGGAGCCTTTGACTTTGATGAATTAAGACACTTAACTGCATGAATGATAGCCATAGAGGGTTAATTACTCAATAAGCCCTCCCAAGTTAGTGCCTCTCAGTATTTTAAACTAAACTTCCTATTGGCCTTAGCCAACTACAGTGATGAGGAATAATGAGAATTGTAATGGGGGAGGTATCTGGATGACGCGAAACAGGGAAGCTTGCTGTACAGAACATGAAATTCCTATTCAGCCTTTACAGACTATATACTGAGATCTCTTTTTATATATATTCTGCCTGCTGACAAGCTGCAAGATGTGCAGAAGTGCAAACTGAAGTATTGTACCATCTTATGTGCAATATATTCCACACTGGTACAATCCAGGACAATCAAAAGTATGGCCTATACAAAGAAGGATGTTGTAGTATAGCTTGAGAATTGTCTGGCAACACGTGAAAGAACACAATGTAATCTGTGTTGCTTTTGCCTCACTTCTCTGCTTTTTGAAATAAATTCTGAAGAAGAGCTGTGTCTGTGTAAGTCAAGATATGCAGGCTTGAATGTAATATATCTGGCTTTGTAGTAAAGTAAACAAAGTAAAGTAAATAGCCAGCACTTGCAATTTATATCTATGTGCCTCTTTGTGATGCAGATTTTAACATTCACATTTAAGCATACTGTGTTTCCCCGAAAGTAAGACAGGGTCTTATATTAAGTTTTGATCCAAAAATGCATTAGGGCTTATTTTCAGGGGATGTTTTATTTTTTTTCATGTACAACAATCTACTGTACTCTCATTCAAATACAATCATGTCATCTGGTTGCTGCACAATGGTGGAGGGCAGGATTTAAGTTAACTGGGGTTTATTTTTGGGGTAGGGCTTATTTTACGAGCATCCTTAAATATCATACTAGGGTTTATTTTCATATTAGGTCTTATTTTCGAGAAATGGTAGGTTATGGTATTTGTAACAGGTGGTGTAATTCCATGTTCACAACACTTTCGAGCTGGATTTACTTAGGCTTAGGCATTTTCTCTATCCTGAGGTTAAGTTGAGATTATTCTTAAGAGTGAGTTAAAAAACAACATGAGAAGTTTAGCAGAATGTATGTGACACAAGACCTGGCTAACTCATCTTTTATGTTTTAAATTTTAGGTTACAGCCAAAAATGCCATCATATTTATTACTGTTCAATACAATGTTACTTATACCACAGGTAAGAATAATATAAAATCTGCTGCAAGTCTGGTTTTCACCTTTTTGTTTTAAAAAAAATCCAAATATTTTTACCAGTGATTTACAGTATGTAAAATCCTAATAGATATGCTCTCTTGTATAATGCTGTTGGCATAAATCTCACTGGCAAATTGCTCCAAATTAATAGGTTAGCATAAGTATTTGTTTTTATGCCTACACTAATGTCTTAATTTGCAGTAATCCACCAATGAGATTTACTCTAGTAGTGTTACACCTGTGGATACATCTAAGAAGAGTTTTGCCTAGTTCAGCATTACAAGAGTACTTAAAAGTATGGCCTGTCCAGCTTAATGAAGCTTAGTCCCTATAAAGCAGGGGTCTCCAAAGTGCAGCCCACAGGCCACATCCGGACTACCAGGCCTTTTTATCTGGCCTGGGTGGACAGGTGCGCGGATGGGCAGGCGTGAGTGCAAGCAGGTGGGTGGGTGGGCAGGAGTGCAAGCGGGCGTGTGTTCCTTCGGCCCTTGAAAATATCGAAAAGATATTATGTGGCCCTCTGTGTGAAAAATTTGGAGACCCCTGCTATAAAGCATGCCTGTAGTATATCCTGATCCTGATTCTTCTAAAGTTGAGTTGGGCTGTTGAAAAAAACAAACATTGCCTGATGACCAGAGGCAAGAAAAGTGTTCCTTCTGAATTTTCAATATTTTCAATATCGGACAATGCATATTGTAAGACATGAATAGTTTTCCTGTTATTTCTTCAGAATTCTTTATTGCTAACATATCAAAAAGCAACGTGGCTGAAAACCATCATTCTGTGTGGTTTCCAGTTGTGTAATATGATTCTCAAATAGACATTACAAACCCAAATATTGTTATAGTAATAATAAGATATTGTGCATTTCAGATGACAGACCTGAGCCAGTTTATTTCTATGAATATGGGCCTAAAGACGTGGCCACCATCTTTTTCTACATGCTTATAGCCATTATTCTGCATGCAGTGATTCAGGAATACATACTAGATGTAAGTTCACAATTATTAAGTAGGTGGATACATTGGATATGTGCATATGTTGGATTTGCTGAATTCTTTGTTTTCTGTAATTGTTTTCTTATTAAATGCATCTAATATTTGATGTGAAAATGCTGCTAAAACATTTGCATTGCCAGCAACCAAATTTATGCATGGTGAAAGTGCATGACCTGTGAAAGAGAGCCTACCCCCAGATAATGAGATATATTGCTCTTGTATGTCTCCTCCTCCTCCTCCAGAAGGGTATAGGTACTTTTGCACTGGGAGCCAGGGTATTCAGTGCTTATATCTTTAGCCTTCTACTGAGGAAGTTGGTGAAAAGTATCCTTCTATAGATAAGAAGGTCCCTCAGATATCCAGTTATTGATTTTTTTTCTTCCTTGGTCTTTTACTTCATTGTGGGCTTGTGCTTCCATTTATAAAGCAATTTGTGTTCCTTAAGATGATACTGGACCACAATTTTCATCAGCTCTAGTCTGCATAGTGATTGAAATAGCTCTGCTAAGGTGCACATTACAATACCTAGCATGTAGAATCCCTGATAAACTGGATTTCAAGAATAGATGTCTATGAAAACTTAATTAAGGAATGATGCACCACTATTCTTTGGTAGACTGCAATCTCAGTTGAATTTGAGGGCACCTGTGAAGCCTTTATGAAATGAAGAAACCTTACACAGCAGCAGTACTTGATAAGAGTGCTCCATGTTCCCAAATGTAATGTGACAGAATGCTGATAAAGTAATGAAATGAAAGGATTGTATCCTCCAATATGAACTTGTTCAGCAGTTCAAATCTTAAAAGGCCTTTCTCCATATGCACTTTAAATCTCACATATTAAGTTTAGTTCAAGCTTTCATGAATTACAGTCCACTTTCTCAGATACATGGAGCATAATAATTAAGCCATAGGTTTATATAGACAGAGAACATGGTACAGTGGTGCCTCGCTTAACGAGCGCCCCGCTGAGCGATTAAATCGCTTAACGAGGGGCTCTGGGCCATCGCTGGAGCATTCGCTCAGCGATGGCCCCATGGCGTTTTTTCGCTTTGCGATATTCGATAAGCGATTCGCTTAGCGAATATCGCATAACGAAGCGGGGGAGAACAGCTGATCGGCGGTTCCAAAATGGCCACCGGAAGGTCCGCGCTGCATTTTTGCGCCCTGCCCTCGCTTACCGAGGGCGCGAAAATGGCAGCGCTATGGAGGAAGATTGCTTAACGGTGAGTTTTAAAGCCATAGGAACGCATTGAACAAAGTTCAATGCGTTTCTATGGCTTTTTTATTTCCGTTTAGCGATGTTTTGCTATAGCGAAGGTTAATCCGGAACGGATTAACCTCGCTATGCGAGGCAGCACTGTATAAAGATGGGGAACCAAAAGAGATGGCACTCTGTCATCCACAAAATATCAAACTGAAATAAATCTGTAAAGTACCACAATTCTCCCCCCCCCTTGTTTCCCTTTTTTATTATTATTATACATGCAGAAACAGACTAACATGACTTTCTCTTTGAAATCTAAGCAGTGGACATTTCATATGAGAAATAGCTCAAAGTCCTAAAGTTGTAGGGGGGAAAATAAGAAATAAAGCATGGGGCATGAGCAGAAGAGGGATCGTGCAGACTTCTTGAGGGAGGATTTGGAAATCTTTTACTTCTGAGAATTGCATTGTAAATTGCAGAACAATATTTCAGCAACTCTGCATCCTTAGGATCTACAGTGCGTGAAGTTCAGAGGCCACTGTGTTAAAGATGTTGTGTATCACATTTTCCTGGATACCTGAGCAGCAGCTACTAAAAGCTCGCTACCTGGTTAACTTGATAAAGTGGTTTCATTATGGATCATGCACTGTGTGATAACTAGGCTAATAGCAAAAACTAAGGTTGAAAGTTAAGTCTGAAGATTTGGAATATACATGGTGAAGATGAACATACATTGGCATTTTGGGAGTATTAGATTATTTACTTGGACAGATAATATACCGTAGTTAGTACATTAAAACATTGGTTTCTTAATTATATAAATTAGTACTCTTTTTTTTTTACTTTTCTAGAAAATTAATAGACGACTTCATTTGTCAAAAACAAAGCATAGCAAATTCAACGAATCAGGGCAACTAGCATTTTTCTACTTGTTTTCATTTGTCTGGGGAGCAAGTATTTTGTCTGCAGTAAGTAAGTCAAATTATTTTTCTTGAATTCAATTTAAATGTTAATTCTCCCAAAAGTTATCATCAAGCCTTTTAACTTTACATATTCTATCCTTAGGAAGAATTCACAACAAACCCAACTTTATTGTGGGAAGATTACCCTCATTCTCACATGTTGTAAGCCTCTCTCTTTTGCTCCTTTCTCTGTTTGATGTGTCATCCTTGTTTTTTATTTGTTCAGTTAAATTTCTGATATTCTTGAGAACCATTTTATTTAAGTAAATTTAAATAACTGATTATAAATAATCCATTTCTTACGTTTTCTACTGTACAATGAAAAAGGTTGTAATCAATTTACAAGAATTGTTGGGCTTTGTTAGCCCATCTTGTCCTCAACAGTAATGGGTAGAAAGATGTTTCAGGGAGTTCATAGAGGGATGACAGAGATTTCCAAGTATTAGTAGTAATTATGTATTTATATTACTTCTCAGAATTCATGGGGCAGTGGGTTTTACTGGATGACAAATGTGTGAAGTGTATTTCTCTTAGATGTGCTGCTTCTCACTTTATGAGCTCTCTAAGTTTTGTTGTCTCAGAATTATTGGATTTTGAGCATATTTACCTTTCGAACATTTTACAGGATGCCTTGAGTCCATAAATAAGAGAAATGTGGCACATTAATAAGTGAATTAAATGAATTAATACAATTATTGTAAAAATATAGAATGAACACACATTCACACCAGGATGAACATTCATACTCCAGCTTCTGGAGAGAGAGAAAGTGATATGAGGAGATGTTGGAGATTTCTGTAACTATTATGAGTATTTCAAATAGAGAATAATTGTTCAGTTGTAGTATAAAATGGAACAAAATGTATATCAAATAAAAACAATAATAAAATAATATAAAGCTATTTTAAATTATTTTAAAAGGTTCTAAGTATGAGATTCACCAATTGAAACCCCTTCCTGGACAGCCAGTTATTTGCCAAAAGTCTGCCTGAAACATCTTCACCTGCTAGCAGAAGCACAGCCAGGATCTTGGCCTCCTTTGAGAGAAAGTTCCACAGTCTCAGGGCAGCCACTGTAAATAAGCTCTTTCATGGCCTCCTAAGATGTGTCTGTGTTAGTCAGTGCCAGCATTATAGGTGAAAACAAAATAAAAATTAAATAAGACAAAAATGTACCTTTAAGACTTTTATCTTTTTTTATGTGAACTTAAATGGACAAGTCCACTTCATCAGAGATAAGTGGAGGTTATATTTCATTCCCTTACATCAGATGAAGTGGGCTTGTCTATGAAGGCTCACATCAAAAATATATAAAAGTTAGTCTTTAAAGTACCACCATGTGTTTGTCTTTTTTTACTTTTTACTTTTACTTTGTTTTTTTCATCTATAGTACCATGAAAGAAGGCATAAAGTTAGCCTGGACTCAAGCTGTTTAGGACTTTATAGTTCATTATCAGCACTTTGAATTGTATCTGGAAACAGACTGGTAGCAAACAAAGCTATTGTAACAAGACACTTAAGTTCTCCTTATAACCACTTCTAGTCAGTAATCAGGCTGCATATTGCCCTCATTAAGTTTCTGAACTTTTTCCAAACGCAAACCAATGTAGAGTGCTTTACAGTAATTCAAGCAGGTTGTAACTAAGTTATGTGTCACTGGGTCAGATCAGACATGTCCAGGAATGGGTGTAACTGATTCACTAGATTTAAATGTGCAAAACACTACTAGTCATGGCAAAGTTCAGATTAATACAGGATCACTCCCCAGTTGAGTATTCAGAGAGAATGTAACTCCATCCAGCACAAACTATGTTCCTATTCCCTTACCTGTCCTTTGACGTGTTGTTTGCCTGACTACATGCTAATATTTATTAATGTATTTGACTTGATGATTAGGGTTCCTTTTCATTCAATCTTCTGCTATAACTCCAAGGTCTTTCCTGGTAGAAATGGATTCAGATCCAGTTAAGATAGATAGAGATAGGGTTATAGTGCAGGTGTACACTACTGTGTACCCCTCAGAACTATTTAATGGTTTTTCAGCTTGCAGCTCTTACAGTAGCTTACAGTTTTTGTCCTCACTATTTCATGATTCTTCACCCTCATTTCTTGATTTATGTGGGTATATGCCATCAAGTTGCATATGACTTGCCTTAACCCTAATAGGATTTTCAAGGTGTGTGTAATGTTTAAGGAGCTATCTCTTGGTAGCATACAAGTAAGTTTTGAATATAAGTATTGTTTTTCAGAATCAGCCCAAAAGCCTATCAAGTGCACACGGTCACACAGATGAAAAGATTTAAAGCCAGCAGTCAAAAGTCCTACTGATATCCACTGTCAACACTGTAACAACTACACCCTCATTCCTGACCTTTTCTCCCCACTCTCTGACCAACTTCTTTACCATATGAGCATAGAGCAGCTCCCAGAAACCCTGACCAGCAAAGCTGGTGGTGAAGGCTTCTGGGTATTGCAGTACAAGAACACCCAAGGTTGGAAACCACTGGAATAGATCCTATGCCTTCTTTGGAACTTTTGAAAGATTTTGCTCACCAGATACTGCCTACAGGCTACAATATATGGTGGAGTGGATCCTCAGCTTCCTTACACTAATTTGTTTGGCATTAATTAAACTAAAGTATTACGATGTTCTAATTATGGGCAGTCAGTAGACATCAGAACCATGAATGTCAAAGATGTTCCAGATCAAGTACTGTAAAATGTATTCATAGAAGTTTACATTCATAAATGTGTTCATAGCAGTTTACATCTGTTGACAAGCTTTACTTTACTGTCAGAAATCAGGGTCCCCAAGTTCCTTGTCCATTGTCGATGTTCCTTGAAGAAGCTTAGAGGTCTTTCTTGGAGCCAGAGCTGAAGTTGCCTCCTTTCAGCATCTCTGTCAGGCAGGAAAGAGACAGGGAGAATGCAGGCTTTAGCCATCCTTGGCAAACAGCTAAACAAGTATGTTCCTGCTCTTGTTTTCTTTGGAAGTGGGGGCAGCAAGTATGCAGGCTGTATTTGATGTTAGGCAGAAGCACTGAAGGGATTGATGAGCATCAACCAAGAAGCTCCTATTGGACTTTATTTGCTTTGGAACAGAAGGGAGCTAGATGTTTCTGGCTTGAACTGCTATCATCCATCCTTGGAACTGGGGAAGTGGTGGGGATTACTGTGAAGTTAATGAGACAATCTGCTCTGCTCTGCTGCTTATTCTTCATGCTCATCATAGTTTACATGGCAAGTTGTAGTTGTTGAATGTTATGCCTGAACAAAACAAGTACTTAAAGACAAGTATGTTAATGGCTTTTGTTCTTTGACTTCTAGTTTTCAGGTTAAATTCTTCTATATCTGCCAGATTGCCTACTGGCTTCATGCACTGCCAGAACTTTACTTCCAAAAGATTAGAAAGGTATGAGTTGCAACTTAAATTCATGCATTTTACTTTTTAAAATTTTTTTAAATTTTATTTAATGCTAAATTTGAATAGTGCAGAAAATTTAAAATAAAAATATGTGGACAACCCCACCAAAAATTATCTTCAGTAGAAAGAAAAATACTGGCCAGAATCCCGTTTGCATAACTTTACATGGTAGAAGTTGATGAGATAATTTGCTTCTGTTAGTAAATTTTAATTGAAATTAATTAAATGCCTCTCTCCCCTGTTTTAAATTCTAAGGCTCCTAAATGCTCCCTTTTGCCTCAGGGAAGCCCTTGGAAGCTTCTGGATGATGGGGAGGGGGGCTTTAATTGTCATAAATTGGCTGTGGATCGCTGTTAGCTGTCCTGGTTCTGCTGGTGACAATGTTTGGTGATAAAAGGTTAACCCTCCGGGTCCTGTGACTCCTAAAGGTTCCACAGGGCAAAAGGGAGCCCTAGGGAGCTTTAGAACTTAAAACTGGAAATAGGAAGCATTTGATTAATTTAGATTAAATTTTACCGGCAGAAGCTGATAATGTTACATGAACAGCTTTTTGGCATTTGTTTTCTAAACAAGGAAGAGGTTTATGATCTAGGGAGTTAAATGTAATTCACACTCAGCCCAGCGGGAATATATCGTTAAGAACACTGTAGGATAGATTTAATGATGCAGTATATTGTCCTTGTTTGCAGGTTGTTCTGCCTCTGCTAATTTTCTTAATATTCAGTGGGTGAAATCCTGTTCAGAAAATCCAAGCATGCAAGGACAGTTGTGCAGTGGAATTTTGTCCTCTCTTACAAGCTGGCTGCATGATGTGCAACCAGTGTGTGATTGTTTGCTTGAAGGAGAGCCCTTGGGCATTGGAAATTCCTAACCTGCAATCACAGAAGCCAAAAGGAGTTTAGCCAGTACTTTGTGTGTGTATGTGTGTGTGCAAGAACCTCAGTGGAAAATATATTTCATATAGGAGGATAATTTCTAGATAACTGCGGAAGTACCCAGAGCAAGAAAAGCTATCACAGCTTTCACTAAACTTTTTGTCATTAAAGTGTAACATATCTGTTTTCCTCCTCATCGTGTAATTCTAGGAAGATATTCCAAGACAGTTGCACTATATCTGCCTTTATATTGCTCACATAGCTGGTGCCTACATTTTGAAGTGAGTATTTATAAACTTAATATGTTTTTATAGTATGAAGACTGCTATTCAGAAAATTGGATCCTTATTTTAACTGCAACTTTATATAAAACAGTTAATGATTTTTTTCCTCTGAAAAAATGAGAAACTATCTTACCTAGTTTGCTCATGATTCAAATGGAATTTAAACACATTTGTACAATGCAGCTAATTCCCTACAATAACTTCCTCATGTTGGGCCTAAGTTGTTGTTGGTCAGCTTGACTAGTTGATAGAATTATTTCTTTTTAATATTGCAGTCTTCATCGTTTGGGTCTCATTTTGCTGGTACCTCATTACCTTGTGGAACTTATCTTTCATGCTTCACGCCTTTTCTACTTCAGTGACGAGAATAAGCAGAAAGGGTAATTTTCTTTACTACTCCTCTTACTGTTGTAATATTGGAAGCAGAGGTTTAGGTAACTGGAAATATGCTTCATATTCACCTGAAATGAATAGTAAAGGCACAGTAAGTTTTGATATCAGATCATTCTATTAAAAATCAAGGAGGCAGAGATGGAAGATCTTCACTGGACAATTAGGTATTTAGCCCATTGGAACACATTAACCAGTTTTTAATGCATTTCAATGGTTCCCCCCCTCCCGCTTGACGACAATTTCGCTCTGCAGCAATTTCACTGGAACGGATTAACGTTGCCAAGCAAGGCACTACTATATTCATCTAGAAGATTATACCCAGTTCCACAATGTGGTACACTGAAATCTTGAAAGTACAAAAGTAAAATCAAGAAAACTATTTCCTGTTTTTTTCTGTGTATTATGTGTACTATTGCAGACATTTTATGTACTCTTTTACAGTGGCTGAAATCCTGTTGCTTAGAGTTGCAAATAAAACAATCCATTGAATAAGTGGGATTTTGATGAGTCAACTCCTTTATAAATTCCATTAAGCCATTGATCCTACTCTAATTGTGGCTTACTATGCTAAGTAACAGGATTTCAACCAGTGTGTGAAGCTATTAACAGTTTGCATAACTCAGAAATAGAGGATATACTATGAATGGCACACTCCACTCCCTCCTTTCTTTTGTAGGCATTCCCTTTTGTCTTTAAAATTTTGCTTTGGACCCTGACTAATATGTTCTCTACTTTCATCTTGATACTGAATTAGAATTGGAATTAGTAACTTGACTAAATGGGCATACATTTATTCCCCTGTAATAGTTCCATAGTTCCAGAAGTGAATGACTGTGGACGCTACAATGACGTAATACCTTCATGCAAGATGAGCATGTGATGAACATTCATACACATTTGAAAGTGTGCATGTGCAGTAGAGTTGCTCTGTGCCACTTGACCCTATTCTTGACACTTCATTTCAGAAATGTGTAGTAACACAGAGAATGATAAAAGAAAAGAAAAGGGAAACATTTCTATAAATTACAGTATTTTGAGCTAATTTTTCTAGACCGTTACCATCACCTGAAAATACTAATATTGCAGATTTATATGCAGTTTGGACATTTAAAATGTATGTGGGACAGCTGATAGAAAAATATTTGATTTTCATTTCAGATTTACTCTTTGGGCTCTGCTGTTTGTAATGGCTCGTCTTCTGACCCTCACTTTGTCAGTCCTTACATTTGGATTTGGTCTGGCAAGAGCAGAAAATCCTGGCTTTTCTATAGTGGAAGGAAACTTCAGTATACTCACCATTAGGTAGAATGACTTTTTCAGAATATCTTTGAAGTGCATAAGCTCGCGAAGTAGAACTTTTTACTAGCACTTTTAAAAATAGATTCTCTTTAATATTAACATAAGTAAGCATTTGTTAGATTGTGAAGAATGTTCCATGTTAATTTATGTGTTGGCTAAAATGGGCCAGATAGTGTTTCTCTGCATATGTTCACAATAAAAGAAGTTTTCTTAAAGGTGCCTGCATAAATGTGCTGGAAGTTAAGCCTTGGGAACAAGGTTTGTGCAATGCATCTGTGGAAGTACTTTGTGAATAGTATGTCCACCTAGGCATAATTGGAGCTTGTGCAGGCAACATTAAGTTATGCAGATGTAGCTACTTAATAAGGTTTCATATACTCAGTCACAAGAATGTAACAAAAATAAAAATATAGTGCCATCCTATATTTGTGGATTACAATCCATTCTTTCAGTTAAAATGATACAACAGTTGTCCTTTTGGAGGAGATCAGTGTTGTTTTATCTGTGGCTGGTAACATGTCACTGAGTTAATTCATCCTCTGGTGTAGCATTTGGAAATTGGAGCACTATTACTTCTGCACAGTGGTTCTAATTTTTTGTTTTCATGTCTGATAGGTTTACTAATAGCCATGGCCAACCACTATTATTTCAGATAATTAGGATGTAGTCAAAGTTGTACACCTTTATTGCAAGAAAATATTCAGTCGTATCTCACAAGCAATATTCCCTCTAAGCTGCATGCATGCACACTCACCCAGAGCTCCATCAGAGCCAAGCATGTGTAGCTGGCAGCCTGTTCATATATTTCCTGTTTCAAATTAAGCCCTGTTCACATGGAGCAAGACTCCCATGAAACAGGACAGAAAATTAAAGGGAACGTTGCTCCCATGCAATTAATTTTTTGCATTATTCTGGATTTATCCAAAAATCTTTGTGACTGACTTAGCTTGTTTAATTTAGTATACCTTTTGATTCATTAAATTAGACATTTTATTCACTATTTGCAATTTTAACAATTTGTAATTAATTCTTTTTAATAATTGGAACTTACTAGAATCAGCTGTCTGGCTGCAATTTGTTTGACCCAAGCTTGGATGATGTGGAAATTCATAAATTTCCAATTGAAAAAATGGAGAGAGCATATACAGAACCAAATTCCAAAGAAAAAAACGAATGCAAAGATTAAATCAACAAAAAAGGAATCATGTAGAAGTAAGTATAATTCTCACATTTTAATGAAAAGATGGGAGATATGGGATTTTGAGGGTTCCCCCCCCCACACACACACAGCTTTTCCCTATCCAGAATTCTGGCAGCTGTACCTAAAAAAAAAAAAATCCAGGTTGTCAGAGGAATTTCAGCACACATACTTGGGGGCCAGCAAGTCCTTTTCTGCAGTGATGGCCCTTAGCCTGAAGAAGAAGAAAATGGATTGGACTTGCTAAATCCCATGGTAGTTTCAAGAGATTAGGGGGTTGGTTATCTTTCTGCTCATTAGGCTCGAAACAAGGTACATCTCAAACTACTAGTTCCCTTTCTTCCCTTCTCTTCCAAAGTGTCCAAAAGTCAGTCCTGGGTGATTTACAAGCCATGTAGAACTGCTTTTAAGGGTGTTTGGGCACTGCAGTGGATAGAGGGCATAGAAGCTCTAGACATCCCCTCCCCTGACTCAGCGTGCTTTCTGACTTGTATCCTATATATAATGTAAATGTGGGCATTTTTTCATTTATTAACTCTCCTTGGCACCAAAGTATTGTTTATCCCGTGTACAGTATAGTGTTAATATTGTGCTAACAGTTTAGGACAATGTTTGCAGATTGCTCTTGTTGGCTTAGTTTTGTTTTGTTTTGTTGCTTTTTCTGACTTTTTTGTTCTTCTATTGCAGCCAGTTTTGTCAATGGAGCAGTAAAATTTGAAGAGGGCACATCACCTAGAAAAAGAAAATCAAAATTTTTGTGAAAAGCAGAGACCTAGAGGACAGTGATTTAAAGGAGAACTTTGTTAAAGAGAAAAAAGGTTAATTCACCACACAGAGAGAACAAGAGACTCTTGACTGTTCTGGCTAAAGGATGCTGGTTGAAATAATATATATTTTTAATATATGTTTGTCAACAAAACTTCTGAAAATATTTCATCATGACTTTAGCTTCTTTGACATTATGATAGTGTCAACTATCTCACTTTTTAAAATTGAGTTTTTGTTTTCTCGCATAAAAATCATGTTGCAGTTTCTGGAAGTAGGCACAGGAGAGACTTATAAATGAGGCTTGCCTTTTATTTGGAGCTTGAAAATAACTGATATTTCTATTTTAAAAATAGTTTTTAAGAATCTTAATTTCTGGACTTAGAGCTAGTTTTTTGCTTTTTATACAGATTTTTAGTTATAGTGTTTGTTATACTGTCTGAAATGGCTCTTTGTTAAGAGGCAGTTTAAGATGCTTTTTGATTTTAAAAGTTCATAAAGTACATTTAATGCCCTTAATCCTACAAAATGCAAATGAAATTAAAAAGTGGATTTCACTCAGTTGTGCAACAAAAATTGTATAGGCTGCAATTTGCACTAGTTCTGAAAATGTGCAATGACTATTACAACAGGCCTAATGTTAGCATTGTGACATTGTTAGATATAGCTCATTATCTTCATGTATGGCAAACTGCCAATTTAATATAGGTTACAATGTGTGTCCTTGAAGAATGGCTGCAAATTAATAACTTAAAGCCAAAACTTGTACAGTTGGTTTTAGGAGTTTACATATGAATTTGAGATTTCAGATAACTGGTTTTGTATAGATTACTTCTAAATCTTCTAGGGGAAGTATAGAAACTATTCTTTTTAAAATGGTGCTAAAAAGTCTAATTAGTTTGTGGATCCATGAAACTTAATACTTTATCTTTTCTTAAAATGAATGTTTAACATACAGAGCTGTAGATGATTTCAGATCGACTGTTGGACTATAATGTCAGCTTTGGCATGTGTAGTAACAAGTCTTGAAGTTTTTATTATTTGTTACAGAACAAGAACATTAGGACTATTGGGCTATTCTATACAGTGGGGTTTCGACTTGAGAACTTAATCCGTATTGGAAGGTGGTTCTCAAGTCAAAAAGTCTGTAAGTCAAGTCTCCATTGACCTACAGTGCATTGAAAACCGATTAATCCCGTAACAGTCTCTTTTTGTTCCATTTTGGTTTTTTTCTGATCTGTAAGTCAAATCTCAGTCTGCAAGTCAAACCTAAATTTTGCGGCCAGAGAAGTCTGTAACTCAAAAAGTCTGTAAGTCAAGCCGTCTGTAAGTCAAGGGTCCACTGTATAATTTAGACCATAAGCCTATTCCTCCGTTGTACCACAAGCTATTAATTCGAAATCAGACACTTTTAACATGTGCCTAATACATCATTGAGGTGCACCATCACTTAATAACACTCCTGTTCACTAAAATATCCTATTAAGTTGTCGAAAAATAATGGACACATTTAAGGCAAACAACAGTCTCTGCAATTGAAAGAGCTAACTGGGCTCTTGCAAGTGGTTTGCACTAGCCCTGTGATCGTTTTTAATATTTTTAACAGCTGCTCTCCATGTCATGTGACAATCTTATTTAAAAAAACTCAGTTCAGTTTGAAAAGCTGTTCTACAGTATCACGTGGGAGCTGCTACTTGAAGATAAGACTAAAACGCCTTTGGATTTTTAGATTCAAGTTTCAAGAAGAATTTTAGTTTTAGTTTCAAGAAGAATTTACTGTTTGTAGACTTCTGTTTAGGGGTTTTGTTTCCTTTTTGTTTTTCCAGGCTACCTTATATGAGAAATTTTGCTATCTACAGGTGCAATTCTAAAATATATTCTGAGGTTAGCTACTTTAGAATAAGGAATTGTACAGTTGTTAGTGTCTTTGCTCTTTTTATGTGCTGCCACTCTCACAACAAAATTCCTTGTACCGCCAGCAGTGACTCAGAGCAAAGGTTATGTATGTTTACAATTTTTCTGCCCCTTACTTCAATTTTCTAACATTTTCCCCATTTATAACTTAGTTTAATAATTCATTATTAAATTTTCTGTGTCATTGGGTGACACAGAAAAAGCTGATTAAAGTCTAAGTCAGTAGAGATGTTCCATCCATATTCTTTTGATGCCTCATGTAGGACAGAAGTTCTAATAGTACCCTTGCAGTCTGATGGGATACTCCAAATGCATCACCCATAAGCTCAAGGGTTTCCCTCCTCAGAGAATCTGTGAACCTATAGATTTTCCTGTCAGTATTAGTCTGTTTGGCCAGAGTTGAGGTACAATGGGAGTAGTAGTTCATAAACAACTGGAGGACTGAAGGTTTCTGCACCTACTCTCTTTTGTTCCATGTAGGTGCTGTATCTACATTTCCACTGTGTAAATAGGGCTGTCATAATATTGCATTTGGTGAAGGAACTTTTTCAACATCAGAGCTGTGTGCTTTTTAAAGCATCTAGATGAAAAATAAGTACTGTATTTGGGATAAAAATCTTAACAGATACTTATTGCCATCTGTATCTTAGGAGCACAATGAATTGCCAAAGTGGCAGATATAACTTTGTTTCATTTACATGCTGCCTATGTATCAACTTTCAGTTAAGGTGAAAAATCCATTAACATCCTAAATTGCATATATTTTCTATGTCAAGTTAACATTTATTTTCACAAAAATTAAAACTATATAGGTAAGGTTTGCTACTTCATGATATGCTAGTAGTATAGGTGAGCCATCTACTGTGAGGAAAAGGGTATAGGTGAGCCATCTACTGTGGTGTTTACAAACTGCTTATGATTGGTTTAGAAATCTAAATGTCTGCCTTGGTCCTGTGGTGAAAGTACACCTCATTCTTGACCACATCCTGTGATAAACAAATGAGCAAAATCATTTGTTTATTTCTTATCGGCATTTAATACAGGATCTAGTTACATGTATTTTGTTTTGTTGGAAAAACTTTATTTTGATATAGGTAATGATGAGGTTTTTGTATGAACAGTCATATCATTTGTATGCAAAATTCTATTCAGGATCTGAGTTTTTTTTCATTTGCCAACGTGTTCCTGTGTGCAAACTAACCTGTATTTTATCTTTGACATCTTGTAATCCTGTATATTTCTATATAGAAAATTTTACCATGAAACTAGAATATATTTTTTTATGATTTTAATAAAATTTGTTTGTGTAATGACTGCCTCATTTGAATGTCATCTTCTGAGCAGTTTTGATGAAAACGTGGTCTTCTGATTAGTACTCAACTGTTCTGCTCACAAGATGAGGCTTTCTTTGATCAGCATGCAAATAGTTCTGGACTGTTCTGTGTCAGGAAACTAAAGTCCAGTTATTCCTATTGCATCCTCAGGATAGTAACTGTGGACACTGTGGGATTACAGGTTGAAGTTTGTATTGTCTAAAATGTTTAATGTAGCTAATTTAAACATTTTTAAAATGGCAAACCCGGTTTTTCCCTAAAATTTGAACATTAGCATTATATGTATCAGTAACTGAAAACAAAAATCAAGAATTGGTCATGGATGCTCAGTTTTGGAGAGAGTCTATCTACTGTTTCATTTGTTAAATGGCATTTCATATTAGTAAAAAATAATGGATCAGTTACTGCATTGTTACCAGAATTATAATCTGAACATGCACCTGTATTTTTTTTTCTAGGCTTCTACATTTGCAAATGTTTAATTGGCTCCCCTTTTTTATTTCAGAAACCTGAACCTAAGTATTTTAAATGATGTCATCTAAACTGTCCTTGAAATGCAAATACTTTGTGTACTTGTTTGTATGTGTGTGCGTGTACCTGATATCTGTGAACTGGGAAGAAAAATGTGTTCTTTTCCAGCATGAGAGGAGCTTACATTGAATATCATAGTGTCCTGTGTTACTGCATTGCACTGATGGATGTTTTATGTATTTCCACATACACATTAAATAAAAGGTGGACCTGTGCCTTAGGATATTTCTGCTGAACTTTACAGTTTTTGACAAAGTGTTTAAACTATTTCTTGACAAATGTAGTTACTGTGTGAAAAGGTGTATTAACGGGTAGTTTGACACTTCTGATCAAAAGATGATGTGGTAGTAGAAGTTAATTGATAGCTCAGATGAAAGCTATGTGTGGGTCCCTAGAGTGGGCTCCTTTGCCATTTTTGTTTTGAAGCACTGTTGCAATTACTTGAAGTAAACAGCCCTTCTTTCCTTTTACTATGGAGGCCTGCTACTGTAATCCTCAATCAGATGTATTGTTGCAAAGTGGGTATCTTGTTGCATGAGTACACTACAATGCTTGTGTGTTGCCAAGTCAGTCAACATCTGGAACATTTTGATGAATTGCTGAATGTTCTTGGTATTCTCGGTTTCCTGTGAGAAAATTGGTTAATTCCTTTTACTGTCCAGAACAGGTAGGGAATCCTTATTCAACCTCTGCCTTGCAGTTCATTCCCTCCGCTGCCCAAGAGAATATTCATAGCTTCCTGGGCTCTCCTATTGTGGTTACTATATTTTATATTAGGTAAAGTTTCTCCTTGACATTTAGTCCAGTCGTGTCCGACTCTAGGGCGCGGTGCTCATCCCCATCTCCAAGCTGCACAGCCAGCATTTGTCCGTAGACAGTTTCTGTCGTCATGTGGCCAGCATGACTAGACACAGAACACCGTTATCTTCCCACCATGGTGGTACCTATTTATCTACTTTTATTTACATGCAGGAAGATTTTATATTACAGTGGTGCCTCGCTTGATGACGTTAATGTGTTCCAGCGAAATCGTCGTCAAGCGAAAGTAAAAAGCCCATTAGAATACATTGGAAACTGGTTAATGCATTCTAATGGGCGAAATACCTCACCGTAAAGCGAAGATCCTCCATAGGGCAACCAATTTCTGCTCCCTGTAGAGTGAAGAATCCGTTCCTAACACAGCGGGGAGCCATTTTGCACAGCAGGTGGCCATTTTGGAAACCTGACGATCAGCTGTTTTGATCATCATTAAGTGAAAAATCGGTTCCCGAAGCAGGGAACCGATCATCGTAAAGCGGATTTTCCCCATAGACACATTGTTTTGCAATTGCAATAGCAATCACAAAAACCGCATCGTACAGCAGATTCATCATACAACGAGGTAATCAAGCGGGGCACCACTGTACAAGATTGGCTAACCGGCACTGAAATTTTTACCCCTGTTCAATACCTGCAAAACAAGAGTGGGCAACTTTCAGAAGTCAAAAGGCAAGGGTAGGTGTTACTTTTATTAAATGATTAAAAACCACAAACATTAGTTGTGTTTTTACTTCATGTAGGTCTTTGGCTGGGCTCTACCTGGGCTATGGAGGGGAAAGAAAAAACGTAGAAGTTCCCAAAATTATGATCAGATGTTCTTGCCAGTAAAAGACAGTTAAACAAATCTGCGGCCCCAATTTTGAATCTGACTTTTAAGAAATTATCCTGGGAAGCACATCTGGTAATAATTTGGGAACTTTTATATTTTTTCTGCACCATCCATGTATGGTCTTGTGGTGCTCAGTCTGAGGAAGGCCTGTATGGGGTTGAAAGCTACTGATGTTTGCAATTCTTAGTGGCCTAATAAAGACAAAACACATACTTCAGCTTCTGGACATTGTCCACTCATGTTTTACAGATACTAATTCTTCCATTTTGAGATATTCCTCCAGCAGGTGGGAGAGACTGACCAACCACCAAACAGATGTGCTCCCTTAGAGAGACTTCCTGTGTGATAGTGCCCATGGATGCCATCCTCTCAGTCTGGGGAGTTAATTGCCTGAGGTATGTGTTTCAAAGGACATGGTCCCTATTAAAGGTAAGCCACGGCATCAACAACAATGAGCAAAAAGCCATTCTTGTCTTACAATCCTCTCAAGTCGTGTATGATCCCATACTGTACATGTTCTGAATATTTCAAATTTGGCTACAGTACATCTAAGCAGATTGGATCCAGTAAATCACATCCATTCAGAATTATTTCATAAGAGAGATTTACAAGGGACATAAATTAAAATAGACACAGTGAGTATATCAGGAAAAACACCAAAACCTATGGTTGAGCTTTTTGAATGGCAAACTCATAAGTGGATAATACAAATGCTTAGGACTGATGGAAAAGAGGCAGAAATTA